TCGATTGACGGCAGGAACAGCTGTGGTAAGCACAGCGCAATTAAGTGTGGAGCGCTACTCTTATGTTCCTCAACTGTGTACTGTAGAGCCTCGATCGTGCTGGTTCGATGCTTGATGGCATCTTGACATCTCTCTGCTGCTTGGTGACAAAGACACGCTCCTAGCTGTCGATACTTGTGCGTTAGATCGGCTCAGGCTGAGCTCACGTAGGTTGTGGGATCATCTTCAACGCAGGTCATCGCATCTTCATTATGTGCTCTGTCAGAAGACACGACCGTGCAGATGAGCGTTAGACAGGACTGTGTGACGTAGAGTAGCAGTCGTGAAGCTTGCGAAACGTATACATGTGGCCTCTATATGCAGGGCGTACATATTACGCGTACTTTCTGGATGTCGCACCGCCCTACTAGTACGGCTCGTCCCCTACGGCAGGCGCCCCCTATGCTACGCTCGCTCACCTACGGGCGCCCGTACTGGACGCTCGCTCCGCCACGCGGCCAGCGCCCTGCTGGGCTACGGCTCGCTCACCTTCGTCGCTTGCCGCTCTCGGCGATGATGTGCGACTAGCAGCTTTCATGAGATGCTTACCTACCGCGCCGCCGCTACTGGATGCTCGCTTCACACAGACTAACGCGCGGACCCCCTACTGACGCTGCGCTCACACGCACGGCCAGCGCGCCTGCTGTGCTAGAGCTGGTCGCTCTAGCGCTCTCTTTGCCGCTCTCGGCGATGGATGTCGACTAGCAGCTTCATGAGATGCTTAACTACACAGCGCGCCCCTACCTGGATGCCTCGCTCCCCTACCGCGGGCGGCCCCCTACTGACGGCTCGGTTCACCGCCACCGCAGGCGCCCCTGGCTGCTGGACGCTGCACCTCACCGTCGTCGCTTGGCGCTCTCGCGACGATGTCGACTAGACTTCATGAGATTGCTTACCCTACACAGGCGCCTCCCTCTACTGATTGCTCGCTCCCCTACAGCGGCGCCCCTGCTGCTACGCTCGGCGTCGACCTCTCGCTTGCCGCTCTCGGGCCGACGAATTGTCGACTAGCAGCTCATGAGAGCTTACCACACTAGCGCCCCTACTGGAGTGCTCGCTCACCCCCAGGGCGCAGCGCCCCCTGCCTGCTAACGCTGCGCTGCGACCTCTCCTTGCCCGCTCGTTCGGCGACGATGTCGACTAGACAGGCTTATGAGTATGCTTACACTAAACAGCGCCCCCTTACTGACGTCTCGTTCACAGCTACGGGCGGCGCCCGCTGCTTTGCTCACGTCGTCACTTCTCCTTGCCGCTCTCGGCCGACGATGTCGACTAGCAGCTTCATGAGATGCTTACCCTACACAGCGCCCCCGGGGTATGGACGCTCGCTCACGCTACGCGGGCCCCCTGCTGCTAGACGCTTCGTCGACCGCTACGCTCCTTGCCGAGCTCTGCGGCGCGATTCGGACTAGCAGCTTCATGAGCATGCTTACCTTAAACACACGGCGCCCCCGCTACTGGGCCTCTCACGCCACGCAGCGCCCCCTGCTGCTGTGATCGGCCTCGGCTCAGCTCTCGCTTGCCGCTCTCGGGCGACGATGTCGCTAGGCAGCTTCATGAGATGCTTACTACACAGCGCCCCTACTGGGATGCTCGCTCGCCCACGCAGCGCCCCCTGCTGTATCGCTCGCTCACTCTCCTTGGCTCTCGGCGCGGCATTGTCGACATAGCAGCTTGCATGAGATGCTTGACCTAGCACAGGCGGCCCCCTCCTGGATGTGCGTCACGCTACGGGCGCCATGGGCCGAGGCCCTACTGACGCTCGCTCAACACTCTCTGCTGTCTCGCGACGATGTCCGCCTAGGACAGCTTCAGAGACGCCGACGTTTCGCGGATTGAGCTGCTTGCGCTGCAGCTCCTGCTCGGCGCAGCTCCACAGGTGGCGGCGCCGTTTCGTCCGATCTGCGCATCGCGCCACCAGCTGGCGCTGGATCTGCTGCCTGCTCGGGGTGCTTGTCGCTCGGCAACTGCATGTGCGGCCATCTTGCGATTCTC